CTTATAACAATAATGAGAGAGATTATAGCGAGAGCGGATAACGATAGATCACGACTGTTGATAGTCGGTGACTTCAACTTGAAATCCATAGACTGGGAAGCATATGAAGCTAAAACAGAAGATTTTTGGACCTGTAAATTTGTAGACCTCATCCTGGAAACATTCTTGTATCAACATGTTAAACAAGCTACGAGGATGAGGGAAGGGGACGTTCCCTCCATGCTAGATTTGATATTTACCAGGAAGGAGGAAGAGATATTTGACATTCAGTACCTTCCTCCCTTGGGTAAAAGTGACCATGTCTTTTTGGGAATAAAGTATGCAATGCGTTATAAGCTGGAAGAAAATAAGGAGGTTGAAGCAGTTGAAAAACCAGACTTCAGGAGAGGACATTATGGTGACCTTAGAAATTTTTTTAGTGAGTATAATTGGACAGACTTGATGCTAGGCAAGGAAGTGAATGAGATGTATGGCAAGTTTTGTGAAATATATGATAAAGGCACAAAAAAATTTATACCAAAACAGAGATGCAGAACTAGGAAACAGGATTGGTTCAATAGAAATAGTTCAATAGAAATTGCGAGAGGGCTAGAGACCGAAAGACACAAAAATGGAATCAATACAGGAAGAGGCCGAACCCCCAAACATACCAGCGATACAAAGATGCGAGAAACAACTACACGGCAGTGAGGAGAGAGGCAGAAAGAAATTTTGAAAAAGGGATTGCGGACAAATGTAAAACAGAACCAGGTCTATTCTATAAATTCATAAACAACAAATTGCAGGTAAAGGATAATATTCAGAGGTTGAAAATGGGAAATAGATTCACGGAAGATGAAAAGGAAATGTGTGAAACACTAAACGAAAAGTTCCAAAGTGTGTTTGTACAAAATGAAATCTTTAGGGAACCAGATACAATAAGAATTCCAGAGAACAACATAGAACACATAGAGGTGTCTAGAGACGAAGTGAAAAAAATGCTCAAGGAGCTCGGTAAGAACAAAGCAGCTGGCCCAGATGGCGTTTCACCATGGGTTCTGAGAGAATGTGCATCTGAGCTCAGCATTCCACTTCACCTGATCTTTCAGGCATCCCTGTGTACAGGAATCGTAGCAGACGGGTGGAAACAGGCTAACATAGTTCCAATCTACAAAAGTGGCAGCAGGGAAGACCCCCTCAATTATAGACCTGTATCATTGACAAGTGTAATAGTGAAAGTATTGGAAAAACTAATCAAAACTAAATGGGTAGAACACCTAGAGAGAAATGATATAATATCAGACAGACAGTATGGTTTTCGATCTGGAAGATCCTGTGTATCGAATTTACTCAGTTTCTATGATCGAGCCACAGAGATATTACAGGAAAGAGATGGTTGGGTTGACTGCATCTATCTGGACCTAAAAAAGGCTTTTGACAGAGTTCCACATAAGAGGTTGTTCTGGAAACTGGAAAATATTGGAGGGATGACAGGTAAGCTTCTATCATGGATGAAAAATTTTCTGACTGATAGAAAAATGAGGGCAGTAATCAGAGGCAATGTATCGGAATGGAGAAATGTCACAAGTGGAGTACCACAGGGTTCAGTTCTTGCACCAGTGATGTTTATTGTGTACATAAATGATCTACCAGTTGGTATACAGAATTATATGAACATGTTTGCTGATGATGCTAAGATAATAGGAAGGATAAGAAATTTAGATGACTGTCATGCCCTTCAAGAAGACCTGGACAAAATAAGTATATGGAGCACCACTTGGCAAATGGAATTTAATGTTAATAAATGTCATGTTATGGAATGTGGAATAGGAGAACATAGACCCCACACAACCTATATATTATGTGAGAAATCTTTAAAGAATTCTGATAAAGAAAGAGATCTAGGAGTGGTTCTAGATAGAAAACTATCACCTGAGGACCACATAAAGAATATTGTGCAAGGAGCCTATGCTATGCTTTCTAACTTCAGAATTGCATTTAAATACATGGATGGCGATATACTAAAGAAATTGTTCATGACTTTTGTTAGGCCAAAGCTAGAATATGCAGCTGTTGTGTGGTGCCCATATCTTAAGAAGCACATCAACAAACTGGAAAAGGTGCAAAGACATGCTACTAAGTGGCTCCCAGAACTGAAGGGCAAGAGCTACGAGGAGAGGTTAGAAGCATTAAATATGCCAAAACTAGAAGACAGAAGAAAAAGAGGTGATATGATCACTACATACAAAATAGTAACAGGAATTGATAAAATCGACAGGGAAGACTTCCCGAGACCTGGAATTTCAAGAACAAGAGGTCATAGATTTAAACTAGCTAAACACAGATGCCGAAGAAATATAAGAAAATTCACCTTCGCAAATAGAGTGGTAGACGGTTGGAACAAGTTAAGTGAGAAGGTGGTGGAGGCCAAGACCGTCAGTAGTTTCAAAGCGTTATATGACAAAGAGTGCTGGGAAGACGGGACACCACGAGCGTAGCTCTCATCCTGTAACTACACTTAGGTAATTACACTTAGGTAATTACCATAAACACCACACTTGGGTCACCATAATCATCACAACAGGACCACCATAAACACCACACTTGGGCCACCATAAACACCACACCTGGGCCACCATAATCATCACAACAGGGCCACCATAATCATCACAACAGGGCCACCATAAACACCACACCTGGGCCACCATAATCACCACACTTGGGCCACCATAATCATCACAACAGGGCCACCATAAACACCACACCTGGGCCACCATAAACACCACACTTGGGCCACCATAAACACCACACTTGGGCCACCATAATCATCACAACAGGGCCACCATAAACACCACACCTGGGCCACCATAAACACCACACTTGGGCCACCATAAACACCACACTTGGGCCACCATAATCATCACAACAGGGTCACCATAAACACCACACCTGGGCCACCATAATCACCACAACAGGGCCAACATAAACACCACACTTGGGCCACCATAAACACCACACTTGGGCCACCATAAACACCACACCTGGGCCACCATAAACACCACACCTGGGCCACCATAATCATCACAACAGGGCCACCATAAACACCACACCTGGGCCACCATAAACACCACACTTGGGCCACCATAATCATCACAACAGGGCCACCATAAACACCACACCTGGGCCACCATAAACACCACACCTGGGCCACCATAATCACCACAACAGGGCCACCATAAACACCACACTTGGGCCACCATAAACACCACACTTGGGCCACCATAAACACCACACCTGGGCCACCATAAACACCACACCTGGGCCACCATAATCACCACAACAGGGCCACCATAAACACCACACCTGGGCCACCATAAACACCACACTTGGGCCACCATAATCACCACAACAGGGCCACCATAATCATCACAACAGGGCCACCATAAACACCACACCTGGGCCACCATAAACACCACACCTGGGCCACCATAATCACCACAACAGGGCCACCATAAACACCACACTTGGGCCACCATAAACACCACACCTGGGCCACCATAAACACCACACCTGGGCCACCATAAACACCACACCTGGGCCACCATAATCATCACAACAGGGCCACCATAAACACCACACTTGGGCCACCATAATCATCACAACAGGGCCACCATAAACACCACACCTGGGCCACCATAAACACCACACTTGGGCCACCATAAACACCACACTTGGGCCACCATAATCATCACAACAGGGCCACCATAAACACCACACCTGGGCCACCATAAACACCACACCTGGGCCACCATAAACACCACACCTGAGCCACCATAATCACCACAACAGGGCCACCATAAACACCACACTTGGGCCACCATAAACACCACACTTGGGCCACCATAAACACCACACTTGGGCCACCATAAACACCACACTTGGGCCACCATAAACACCACACTTGGGCCACCATAATCATCACAACAGGGCCACCATAAACACCACACCTGGGCCACCATAAACACCACACTTGGGCCACCATAAACACCACACTTGGGCCACCATAATCATCACAAAAGGGCCACCATAAACACCACACCTGGGCCACCATAAACACCACACCTGGGCCACCATAAACACCACACCTGGGCCACCATAATCATCACAACAGGGCCACCATAAACACCACACTTGGGCCACCATAATCACCACAACAGGACCACCATAAACACCACACTTGGGCCACCATAAACACCACACTTGGGCCACCATAATCACCACAACAGGGCCACCATAATCATCACAACAGGGCCACCATAAACACCACACTTGGGCCACCATAAACATCACACTTGGACCACATAATCACCACAACAGGGCCACCATAAACATCACACTTGGGCCACCATAATCACCACAACAGGGCCACCATAATCATCACAACAGGGCCACCATAATCACCACAACAGGGCCACCATAATCATCACAACAGGGCCACCATAAACACCACACTTGGGCCACCATAATCACCACAACAGGGCCACCATAATCATCACAACAGGGCCACCATAAACACCACACTTGGGCCACCATAATCACCACAACAGGGCCACCATAAACACCACACTTGGGCCACCATAATCATCACAACAGGGCCACCATAAACATCACACTTGGACCACATAATCACCACAACAGGGCTACCATAAACACCACACTTGGGCCACCATAATCACCACACTTGGACCACATAATCACCACAACAGGGCCACCATAAACACCACACTTGGGCCACCATAAACACCACACTTGGGCCACCATAAACACCACACCTGGGCCACCATAATCACCACAACAGGGCCACCATAAACACGACACTTGGGCCACCATAATCACCACAACAGGGCTACCATAAACACCACACTTGGGCCACCATAAACACCACACTTGGGCCACCATGTGCACCATACAGTGGCTGGCCTTCATTCGATACAGTGTCCAGTTCACCATAACACTCGTACCTTGCACAGTAGACTCTGGGGACCCACTGAGCACATGGGCGAGGGGGACCACTGGAGTACACAGCACCCTGCACTGTGTGGTCGCTTCTTGCACCACTACGGACCCTGCTCAAGTCCTCTACTGACGTTTCGTATACCGTCGGTTCAAGACACAAAAACACAAGTTTGTTCACTAACAAGGTTGTATACGCGAACCCTTTCGTCTATACATGTGCGCTGGCTTGTGTTCGCTGCTGTTCTCGTCTTCTCAGACACTATTCGAGACAATAGAAGTTGACAATAAGTTAAGAAGATGAATAAATTCATGGTCCTTGCTTTCATTAACAGTGTTTAGCGCACTGTTTTTACTGCTGTGTTCGTTAACAGAGCGCACTCTTATCAGAGAAGGGAAGGGAAGAGAACTATCAGGGAGAAAGCGCCAACCCATTAAGACTACATAGCACTTGGAAGGGGTCAGGATGAGGATTTAGGATAGAATGGTGGGCGGGGGAGGGGGAGCAGGAATGGTGCCCAACCACTTGGACGGTCGGGTATTGAACACCAACCTGCATGAAGTGAGACCGTCGCTCTACCCAAGCCTAAGTAGTTGGACTCTTATTTTTTTTATTTATATATGCAAGAGTTCTTACATTCTTGTACAGCAAGTTCAAGTTCAAGTATGTTTATTGAAACAAGAAAAAAATACATCTTAAAGGGATTGAGTAGCTTAGGCTATTTCTACCCCCTCCTATTTCAAGTGCCTCAAGGGGTGCACAAATTCAGTGAGTACAAATACCAAATCACAATACAAGAATCCCATTTAACATTGCAGGTTAATATAGTAAGCACAGCATATAAGTGTTACACTCATTGGGGCAAAATTCTTGTAGCTCCTAAGTATTCTATCTATCATACCATTATATCACACATCCAAACAATTTGATGCGGTACACTACTTATTTCCTTATTTCTATAGTTATCAATAAGTTGACACTCTAATTCATAATGTTCTTTCAAGTTCAAGTATGTTTATTGAGACAAGTAAAAAAATACATCTCAAAGAGTAGCTTAGGCTATTTCTATCCCCATCTATTTCAAGTCAACTGAATTTACGGCAGTCTCCGTGGTGTAGTGGTAAGACACTCGCCTGGCGTTCCGCGAGCGCTATGTCATGGGTTCGTATCCTGGCCGGGGAGGATTTACTGGGCGCAATTCCTTAACTGTAGCCTCTGTTTAACGCAACAGTAAAATGTGTACTTGGATGAAAAAACGATTCTTCGCGGCAGGGGATCGTATTCCAGGGACCATAGGATTAAGGACTTGCCCGAAACGCTACGCGTACTAGTGGCTGTACAAGAATGTAACAACTCTTGTATATATCTCAAAAAAAAAAAAAAAAAAAAGTCCCTCAAGGGGCGCACAAATTCAGTGAGTACAAATACACAAATCACAATACAGGAATCCCATTTAACATTTCAGGTTAATATAGTACTCTCTAAGAGTATAATAGTGTTCATCCACCGCACTAGTTTTTAACCCATTAACGTTCTAAGATAATATCCTCACTCTACTTTCATCCATGTTTAATAATAAAACTACCTTTGCCCTGTCCGTCACATTCCATGAGATACGAGAGTTTCTTAGACAATCTCTCCCAACACTGTAACATTTTTGCTTTCTCATCACTTGCACAACAGCTACTAACACCAAAGGTAAATTATTCATATCTATTTTTTTTAATTCTGTATACCGTTTTACTTTAACCTTTGTTAACACATTTGTCACTACAGGAGGTTGACCGCTAACACTACTAGAAAGTTCATTTTCCTTGCTATCCTCTACCACCAATACGTCATGTTCTGCCTTACTTTCTTCTACACACGTTTCATTTTCCATTTCACGTCCTGTTTCACTTTCCATTTCACGTTCTGTTTCACTTTCCATTTTACGTCCTGTTTCACCACCATCTTCACCCCGTCTACCCTCCATAACTAATTTTCTAATGCCTCAATCCTCTTGTCTAATTTGTTTTAGATATTCCAATATTTGAGTACCAACCTCCTAGTTCATTATGTTGTCCTGAACCTTGTCTCCACAAGGTTCAGCTGCATTTCCTACTTTCCCTAGGCTCGCCTTAATTGTCTCCGTTCCTTTCTCCCACACATTGTTCACAGGGGCTGTCATTGGCTTCCAGCTGTTTCCTCTATGTTCCTGCTGCACAATCTTTCCTTCCTTCGAGGATACATCTATCCTGCTTGTAGGACCCGTCCTGGAGTCTCTCAGATGAGTCTTCATGCGGCATAGATAGGAACCAGCATTGAGGCTGCCTCGATAATTGCAACAAGATGGAACGATTTTTTCACCGTTTTTAATCTTTACTCTACACTCTTGAGAGTCGTGTTTCTTACCACAGTACCGACACCTGGAGTCAAACTGGCATTTCTAAGCTATATGTCCCCAGCGTGAACACTTCATGCATAATATGGGCTCCTCAATGTATTTTGCAACTTTCCTGTAGCCTAGTCCTTGCACAAAAGTTCTTGTTGGAGCCTAACCCTTTACCAAGGCAACAACCTGGCTTTGTTTTTCACCACGAACACTGTTTCTCTTTACCCAAACAATACTATCATTGTTGAGCAATAGATAATCAGGATATAAATAAGTTGGATACTTAAAAACTATGACCTTGGTGTGTTTCATACCTTCTTCCGGAATAACCATCACAATATTCTCAAACCCATCCTTCGTTAGGTGTTCCACAGCCTTTTCTGTCCCAAGTGTTATGTAGGGCCGGTGAGCACCCTCCTTGAAGTGGTTCATATTCAAAAAACTCCTTAGCCAAACAAACCGTCCACTCCAGCTTTTGATGGAAATTCAGTTGACACGCTGTAGGGAACAACAGCCTCTTCCTTCCATTAGTCTGCATCTCCCGCGTCCTGCTGAGCAGGGCTTCATTTTTTGGTCTCTTTGTTATTTCCTCTTTACTGTCTCCGTCTCGCTGTCTTTGAATATTTCGCCGTTTAATCTGTTCACTACTGCTTGGAGGGCTTAAAAAATTGCAGAACGAAGCCTTGAGGATAATCCTTGGGTGCCCTCGTACCACAAAGATACTTAATATGAGAAAGGAACTAAATATTCCGAGCGTTGTTGATCGTGTTACTGAAATTAACTATCAAATTGGTAAAAAAATGCTTAGGCTAACTCATCCTAATCCTTGCACAGAAGCCTTCCAGAATTTCTTTATTGAAGATCAGCATTGTTCAAAATGGATAACAAAAACTGGAACTCAACTCAGAATGTATCAGGTTCATGATTTGTACCATGAGAAACAATAACGGCACTTTCCTGCATCGTGGGAGGTTACACCCTTTCCAGTTTTAATCCCTCCCTTTCCACCCAAGAAGCAAATTAGAGATCAGCCCAAGCTTCGTCTTGAAGCAAAGCTCAACGCCTTAAGCCATATTGATCCTCTGTCCACAGAGCATTCTCTCTCTCAAATCATATACACTGATGGTTCCCTACACCGCACCACGGGTGCAGCTGGAAGTGCAGTTGTTCTGACAAGGGGCGATGGCTTGTACTTTGAGTGGGGAGTCCGTATAAACAACTGGGCCTCTACCCTTCAGACTGAACTATTTGCCTTGCTCCTTGCACTGAAATGTGTACAAGTCTCCAAACTTGATACATTAATTGTAAGTGACTCCTTATCATCCTTAAATGCTCTCAACTCTTTAAGACATAACTGTAACATGCTCGTGTCCGAAGCTAGACACAAATACAACAAAATTATTAAGGATGGTAACAGAGTCCATTTCATGTGGTCTCCATCTCATGTTGGCCTCCGAATGCATGATAGAGCTGATAAGTTAGCCAAAGAATCTGCCTTTAAAGGAGCCGTTGAGTGTAACCTTGGATTGTCAATGAGCAATCTGAGAGCAGCAGTACACCGAGAACTTCAACAAGATCTTGTAGATCTGAGGCAAAGTGAAATTGACACCAGTAATTCCATCTATCATCATACTATCATGCAAGAGGAGCCACACATCTATGATTCATCCAATAAAATCAGCAGACTTCTAGATGTTACTACTGCTCGGCTTAGACTCGGTTACAAGTACCTCTGGGAATTGTCATTATCTGCTGATGTAGACCTGACCAAATGTAAACTGTGTCAACAAAATTATTCGCACACCGTCCGTCACTATGTGATGGAGTGCGAAAAGATACGTGAATTTAGAGACAATTCTATGGAGTGCGAAAAGATACGTGAATTTAGAAACAATTCTATAACCAATGTTCCAGCGATGTGTAAATATTTCATTCAAAATGATCTGCTACCAGAAATTTTAGCCAAATATCCCCAGTTTGCTAACTGTAGGTAGTAACTGAGTGATTGTAACCTATCCACCGCTGCGCACTGGATGGGGGGCGGTGTGCAGGACAAACATATAAATTTTGACACTAGCTCTCCACATATGTCAGTTGCTTAATTTAGAACCTGTACTTGAGGTCGATCTCGAACGCATTGTTGATGTGACGACTTATATTGAATTTTGTAACTAGCTCATCAAGATTGTAACTTGCTTAGCTAAATGAATTGTGGGGTTCAGTCCCTGAGCCCATTATGTGCCTCTGTAACCCTTTCCACTACCGCCCACAAGATGGGTATGGGGTGCATAAATGAACTAAACTAAAACTACTGCTTGATACGGCCTGGTATCATCCTGTCTGTCATCCTCACTCTCACACTCTCCAGGCCCAGTGCAGGATCGTCCATCACCTAGGCAGACCGCCTCAGCCATTTCCTCGATACACAAAGGCACTGTATCACTGCATCAGTCTAGAACAAATTCACAACATCTAGCTGCAGCAGCCACGTGCAAACACGAAGATGTGGAGCAACACGTCCTCCTCGCTTCATGCAGCAGATGTCGGGCAGGTCCTTATAGGCTCAACAGATAAGTTTGCCAAGAAGTACATTGTAGCAAAATTTGAGTTCAACATAATAACTGCAATATAAATTAACGGAAATAATTACACTGGTGAAGTGGCATGTCAAGTACTATTATTGGGGGAGTGAATAGCACCAGACACAAGGTTTTTCCTGACCGAAACGCTCTGCGTAATAGTGGCTTTAGGCATTGTATGTACTAGCTCTATCTTTAAATCTATCAATTTTTGTAAAATCTCTTGTATGTATGTGCCTTACCTCAATAAACATTTATTTATTTATTATTATACAGTGTGAATTTGAAACACATTCAGAAACAAGGTTTTGTACATGTAAATAACACAAATAGATATTAATCCATTGCATGACT